CAAAGATCCTAAGACGGATACTTGAGGGACCTTGCTTGTCACATTTTCATGATTAGAATGTTGCTTATTTACTCCAGCCCTCTTTTATCTGCATTCAAAGAAACTTTAATCTACCCATTTAGTTCTTTTAAGATTTCATAAGATTCTAACTTACCAATTAATATGTTAGGAGAAACCTTCTCAAAAGCCTTCTGTAAGTTCAAGTACACAACATCTGTTGGGGTACTATTATCCAAACAAGTAAAAGCTCTATCAAAAAACTCTTTAACAAACAAGTGAGACAAGAAAATTCTTTTTTCAGAGGAATTTTTAAGGTGTTTTTCCCAATGATTTCAGACAATGGATTCCCATAGTATTATACCATAAAAGGTGTAAAGAGTTTGGCAAATGTAATTCTCATTATATGTTAAGCTTAATTTTGTAGTAATTTAAAATAAAAGTTTCTTAAATCTATTTTTTTTACTGAAAGTAAACTGCTAAAACTTTATACTAGCTGTAATATATATCATTGGATAATTTTGAGGAAAGTGAAAGATAAGTACTGTATACCAGGTATGCATACTGTATATAGTTTTTCATCTGAAGGAGTCATGTATTAGTCATAACATAAATTGTTATAACCATACCTTGAATTCAATGAAAGATTGTTGGAAATTACTTGTCTGCTCCTTTCCTAATTTCATTTTGAAGAACAATATCAATAGGAAATTTAGAAATATCACTCTCCAAAATGTTATCAAAATCATTGACATAAATAACAATCTTAACCATGACAAGCTTTATCCAGATGGGGACTTTATCTAGGGTATTTCCTGGTAATTGAAAGATTGATGATGAGATATATATTTTCTTAGGAAGTAAAAAGAGGGCTATTGTGGATTGGGAAAAACAATTTTCTTGATTTCCATTATTAAACAAATTTGGAATCTCTTCACAGAAGTTGTTTAGGAAAGCACTTGAGAAGTTAGCATTTAATTATGATTATTAGCATAGTTTAAAAAAAAGGTTTTTGTGCATTACCAATTTGATGGAGAGTTTTAATAAGACATATGTCTTTTTGAATAAGAGCATCTTAGCTAATGATATACATTGAATTTTAGAAAATCTAAAAGTGGATAATTAGTAAGTTGGATGCCTGTAGGGTAAGACAATACACTAAACCTATGATACTATACATATCACAATATATAAGCCATGATATCATGATACATTAAAACTTCCTCACATCTCTACTTGATTTAAGAATAATTGTCAAATTTTTAGACCAACACATATAGCTATTTTAACAAAAGCTCATTTATTTAACAGTAAAGAATATGATGCTTGTGCTTAAAAGATATACAGAAAAAAAAACTTTAACAAAGTTAATTTTACCTAAGTAAATGCAATTATTTTATTCTAGTTTCATTGAACTTTTTCTTCTGAGGTGATACACACCTCTTCACACAAGCTATCTTCACTGTGCATTTGCCTTAGAGATTTGCATGCCACTAGCCTTTAAGCAACTCCCATCTAATCTCACAAAATGTAATGAAAATTGCATTACTGCATAATGACGTTAATGTGCAGCAAAAGCTTTTTTCTTTTCTTCGGCACTGAACACATCATATACATTTTTTTCTTTTTAAATTTAACAAGATTTGTGATGTTTAAGGAACTTAATTTTCTTCTTTTTTTTGTACAAATTATGAACTCACTAGTTTGTGTAACATCTTCTACTTGTGTGAGTGAATAATTCCCTCACACAGGTTGTGCAACAACTGTGGCTTCTCCACTGTGCCTCATTCTACTTGTACCATTTCACTATTCACTAGACTCTTTGTTGCTTGGAATTATTGGGTTGTGATACTCTCCTATTCCAGTTTCAACTTCTTTCTTTCCTTTTATGAGATCTTTACCCGGTTCTCTTTCTTTGCCCTGAAGTTTTGGGGTATTTTTGATTTGATTGACTCACAAGCTGAAGTTGCCTATCATCAGTCCTTGCTTTTGTCCTTTATTTCCACACTCTCCCAAACCCAAACCTTCACCATTGTACTTCAACCTAGCCCCCAGTTTCACATCTTTTGATTCCCACTTCCCAACTTTTCTCTTCTACCTGGCATCAGACTCATTAAGCTTGTTGGTGAAAATTAAGTCAAGTCTGATCCCGTAGGTGCCTGTCTGTCATAGTTTGATCTTCTGTGGTCACACTTTCCTATCCACACGGGGGTTATTCTGCTTTTTACCCACAGACTTCCCCTTCTCCTCTCAGCCCTCATCATATTACCTTTCCTCCTTCTGATCCTATCTATGTACAACATCTTGAGGAGGCAGTGTTTATTAACCCCTCTAATTTTTACTCATTTGCACTCAATATTTTATTCACCTGGGAGTGTTTCTAACTCATTTCTTGGCTGTGCTCAGCATTCTCCTGTCTGCTTGCGAGCTATGGAACTACTAGTCACCAGGATTCATGCCTATCCTACTCATACTGCATGAGAGGGTTTTATTGTTTGGAATCCATGACTTTACTGGCCTATTCCTTTGGATTGCACACATGTGCACCTTCTCTCTTGGTTCTTAAAGGACCAGAGGAACCTTTCACAGGAAACTTTGATCTCATTGGTTCACTTGTCTTCTCCTCTACTGGAGGATGTGTATTGGTGGCTGAACCAATCCAATATCACCATTGGTGTTCCATTACTTCCACCCAAACCAGACCTGCACCTCTTCACCGATGCTTCCCCCTGGTTGAGGAACATCTTTGAAAGACAATTTCACATATGGTACATGGACCTATGACAAGTCCTCTCTCCATATCAATGTAATCAAACTTATACTTATGGTAGTTCATTGGGTATGCTCCCATTTCTTGCCCCTCCTAATGGATCATTTCATTATGATTCCTTCTGACAATTCCTCAGTTTTTCCTACATCAACTACTAAGTGGGGACCTGATCCTGGACCCTTTGCTTTCAAACCTTGGACCTTCCTTATTGGGCCAATTCTCAACAGGTTCTTCTCATCACCTGCCATGTACTGGGTGCTATGAACCTGGTTGCAGACTGCCTTTCTTAGCTAGATCATATTCTATCCATGGAATGGTCTCTTGGAGACTCCAATTCATCGATGCCTTTGCCACCCCTCTCATTTCCAAGCTTCCTCTCTTCTGGTCACCTTTTTCAATCCTACAGCTTTAGCTGTTGATGCTATCAGACAGGACTGGTCTTATCTTTTTCACCCTGCTTACCCACCTCTCTCTCATTT